GAGAGAAGAAAAAGGGAAACGAATGGGGGAAGGAGGGGCAGGAGGAGGGGGAAAGGACGCGCGAATCTTCTCCCTCCTTCTTCCTTTCACCCCCCTCTCTCCCTTTTTGTGCAAGCAAGCGAGCCTACTTTCGATCTCATTTTCGAGGATCGCCCTCTCCATCTTTGCGTAGCCTCGAACCTTCGACAGTAATTCCGCGAGCACGGGGGGTGGGTTCGCAGGATGGGTGGCTGCCGAAAGAAAAGGGAACGGGTGTAAATGGGGTGGTATCGTAATGCAGTATTGTGAGGACGTGCCTGAAGGCATCTCTTTTCCTTCGCCTTGCCTCTCTCCCTCCCTCTCTCTCTCTCTCTGTCTTCTCCTCTCGCTCGGCACCCCTCCGGGATGGGAGGCTGAGACGTAGATGCAGTTAGGGGGAACGAAAGGGTGCTTCGACGAACGATAGCGACGAGCCGGCTTTGAGCATCTCTCTCTCTCTCTCTCTCTCTCTCTCGAGGGTTGATCTTTGGAATTTTTCTTTCTTTTTTTTTTTTTTTCGTGTAGCGTAAAGGAAAAATTAGATGGCGTGGATGGTGTGGGTAATTTTTTCCCAGAGATTGATCTTTGGAATTTTTTTCCTTTTCTTTGGGCGATGCGAAAAAATTAGATGGCGCGGAGAAGAGTGTAGCAACCAATTCTCTCGGAGGATTGTGATCCTCGAAATTTTTTTCTGTGCAATATAAAAAAATTAGATGGCGCGGATAGTGGCGATTGATTCTTTTTTTTTTATAGAAAAATTAAACGACGCGAATATAATAGACAGCGTAGAAATCTCTCTCTTCGAAGATTGATCTGAAATCCTTTTTTTTCTTTTTTCGTGCCAATACGAAATAATAATTGGAGATATGGGTCGGTCTTCAGAATTTTTACTTTTCGAAATTATATTAATTATCGTGGAAGGGAGGGGTGGCGAAAGTTTAATAAATACGTTATAAAAATATATTGGAGAAATATGATGGAAAGATGGAAGAAAAATCTGGTAAGCGGTCCGAAGCGACGTCGAGCGGGCCCGAGCGGACTCAAAACATAAACGGCCTCGCCCCTCTGCCCGACCTTACGAATTCGTAGTCTTCCCTCGACCGTCGTGGAGTTTGGTCGTTCGTCGAGCCGAGCTCCGATTTTTTCCCCCCTTCCTCGGTTCCTTTTGTTCGACGTGATTACGTGTGCGTGTGCGTTTTTAACAATACCGGTGTTGCGCGCGTGCGTTTCGTTGTGCATCGGTGGAAGATCGTGCGCCATGATTTTCTACGACCGCGTGGCCGTGCCCCAACCCCCTCAACTCGCCATCCCTTTCTACAGATGCAATAAGGTTATTTTCCTTCTCTCGATAGTGTGTGTGTGTGTGTGTGTGTGTGTGTGTGTAATTTAACATAACAGAATCTTAGTAATTATTTAATATTATTATATTAATTTCCTTTATTTATATGAATTCGAGAAATTTATATAAAATACAAAATTGCAAAATTAATGGACGAAGGGATACAAATATTATTCCTTCTCCTCTCGTGTGTTTGAAAATTATTCTACGTCGTACGAGGATCCCCTCTGTATTTTTCATAACATATTTCTCGTGGAATTCCATTTCGAGTTTGTTTTCCATTTCGAGCCAGCTCAATTCCCAAGAAATTCTCGACTGATTTCTCTTTGGGGTATTTAGAAAAAGTTCATCGTCCTTGAATTTACGCATACACGTATATTACTCGAAATATTACTCGATACAACGCGTCCATATGGAAAAACTAACGATTGCGCATTTGACGGTGAAAAAATATCATCGACGATATTAATAATATTAATATTAAAATATTCGTATTAATATTATTAACGATATATACGAGTAATAATAATCGGTAAAATTATTTAATATTAATATTAATGAAATATAGCGAAGTGTATGAAATAGAATATTCATACTAACAATTGCTCGTATATTAATATTAATGTTAGAATTATAGAATACTAAAATAAGTGGGATGTTATTAATATTAGAGTATTTGTGCTAATATTTAATCGTATAGTAATATCGAATAACATTAATATTAAACGTATACTAAAATCAGTGGAATATCATTAATATTCGAATATTATCGTCGCTAAGAAAAAAAAAATTCGAAATAATTTATATTAAAAAAAAAAAAAAAGGAAAAAAAATTATTCACTAAAAAGACGAAGTTGACCCTGAAAATCTTTGAAGTATTTTTATCTTGAGAAGAAGCATCGATGTACGGAAGACAAGTATTGATTTACTTAACTCTTCATAGCCAATTGGCTCCTTGACAACCCGACAAATATTTTCCCTTCGAAGGTTTCGTCCCCTCCAAAATTTTTCTTTATTATAACATTGTGCAATAACAAATATTATTAAGCAATTTTATTTTTCAATTTCTTCCCCCCCCCCCCCTAATTTAACTATCGATCTTCGTTGGCCATTTTTCACGTCCAAACGTCACGTTTTTTCGATTGTATATCCTTGATTAAATTTTTTTTATTTAAACCTGTCTACCACTATTGATTATATACATGTAAAATTTCTACGAAAACAAAAAAAAGTAGAAAAATTGTGAAGTAGAAATCGAGAGTTACTTGCTTTTATCCTTTCCATAAAATTTATCCACTCTAACATGAAGATTTTAAATAAACGTAGAATATTTATTGCACACGATGTTAGAAAACAATGTTTCTCAATCTATCCTTTATTTGTCTCAATATTTTCTCAACATTATAGATAATTTTGGAAAAATAAAAATACGGACATATTATATAAAATAATAAAATATCGTCCCTTCTTCTTCTTCTTCTTTTTCTTCTTCAAATTTCATTTCGATTTCGCATATTCGTTTGAAACGAAGTTCGAGTATATCAATAATCATAAACGATTTCACAAACGAAACGATAATCTAACTCGTCTTTATATCTGAGTTAGATTTAAAAAATTGTCAAAATTTGCGCTACGAGGTACTCTCGAGGCCGTAGGCCAGGTCTCCTCGACAGGAAAATGTATACTCCGACCATCCCCTTATGTAGGCAAAGTAATGCCCCGGGTATCTATTGCGGACATAGTAAACGGGACATAGTAAAGAGACTGTACGTGCGCGGCCTGCTTGCATTGGCCCAGGGGTTGCTGTTTGCAGCAGGGGTAAGTGACCGTGGAAGTCGTGAGAAAGGATCCACTGTACCCCAGTGGTTTTCATTTCGAGGCCTCTCGAGTTTCTTTTTTCTTTTCTTTTCTTTTTTTTTTTTTTTTTGTTCCACGATATTTTGACAAAAATTAAGACTTATTGTTTGAGAAAATGGACTTTGTCTCGATTTTAGATGGGGAGCTAAATTCGTTTAAATTCGTTCAAATGTTAATACACGCTTGTGATATGTATTGAACATTAAGGGTTTGGGTAAGGCTTTGGAATGACACGAGAGAAGGAAAATTTATTTCCAAATTTTGTAAGTCTTTATTCTCGACCGAAGTTTTTGCATGACGTTGAGAACCTGTAATGGGATCACCATAAAGATACTGTAAGAAAAGGTGGACTTACTTTAGCCAAATTCCAAGATTAAAATCAATAAGAGTTGTTGTTCCGTTACTTTCATCCTCTAAGGGACGAGAAGAGTTTCTTCTTTATTCCAACGTTCTATTAGAAGGAATTTCAGAAAATCGAATCGGATCGTTAAGTGATTCGTATTAACATCGATTGTTCGATTTTTCAATATTTTATCTCGTTTCGCAAAAATTAGAACGTTCGAATTTTAATTTATATCATTTTTTTTTATTTCATTTTATTTTAGAAAATTGTGTTTTGAAATTTCATCGTCAATTCGCTTCTTTTTACAACGAGTACTCTGGATAAAAATGACTTTTCGTTCAAGAAATTGGTTAAAGGGATAAACGCTTAGCGTCAAATAAGCGTGTCTGGTAGTTTTGCATAAGTAACACGAGGAGAGGAGACGCGTTTATTCGACGCGTTGTAACATTTTCACTCGCTTTACTTTTTAATCGTACATTAAGACGTCGAACAAAATGATTCGAATATTGAAACGAGGATGAATATTGACGTTGATGACGAGGATCGAATTTATGTTTCCGCACAAGGATCCAGACTAATAACGATTTCTATGGGATTGCACGGGAATAGATCCTCTCCCCGGTCGAAAATTTATAGCCGTGCAACGAGAGATGCCCTCGCGACGAAGAAACCCCTGGCTCTATTATCCATAACGAATTTTAACGTCCATCGTTGATGGAACGTCGTTGATAATTGACGTTGTGCAAAGACGAGGAAAATTTGCGCAATAAATTATCCTCACAGATATATCTTCTTTATAGATCGTATTCACCGTTAAATGCTCGATAATATGTTTTCTCGAATAACAACGTCGTTAATTGATTTCTCCCGAAAGAAAATTCGAGAAGAAAAATAAAATAAACGAATAAAATCAAAAGGATCTCGATAGAATTCTTATTAATTAAAA